GAGATAACCTGTGACGTCGAAAGAGAAAATTGTATGATGAATGAATGTCCGGAGTGCAAAGAAATTGATATATTATTTTCCTGTATACAACCCAGAAGAGCCCGTGCAAATCAAACAGTGGTCCACTATCGATGGCAAAACAAAAACCATAATTCTGCTTGAAACAATCGAATCAGCAATTGAAATGTTGGAAACATTATTTAGTTAAATTATCCAATTACACATTTGTTTCAGTGTATAATAAATATATTTATTATAATAATAATAAATGTCCCATCAGTAATGTCCCGTCAGTAACGAGAAATCAAAATGCATTGTCTACACAGATTACAATGAAAGATGAGTGATGTCATAATAAGTTATACTAACTGTATCTGCAACTTGGTTCACCTATACTTTTCTTCAACATTATTCTGTTTCAGAGAATTATTCTCTTCTAGTAACCAGAAATTTTTCTGACCTTTTTCCTGTCCCATCAGTAACAACATTTTATTGATTTCTAGTTCGTAAAATAAAAAACATTTTAATAGCTCTGATCCCGAAAATTTTACACAAACTCTAACTTTAATAGTTACCCAAATATCACCGTCATTAGCTCATTACTGATAGCAACAAATATCAAAAAATAGTTAATTTTTTTTCCAATTGTCCCATCAGTAACGCGTGCAATCGCCCGGCTTTCAAATTGTTTTTTGAAAATTAATGTTTAACTTTTAAGGTGTTTTCTTACTTTTAAAAATGGATAGGTTTTCGACTTATGTTGCCAGAGCCATCGATTTATTTCAGGATGGATGGTCACAGTATTACATGGCAAGTGTTTTAAATGTCACAAGAAGTAAAGTACAAAGGTCAACATCAGTCGCCTACTGACAGTCGGAGACAGATACATTTTTAAAAGTAAGAAAAAACCTCAAAATTAACACATTTATTTACAAAAAACAATTTGATATCTTTTGAAAGCCGTATATGACATGATTCAACAAAACTGTCACTGTCATCCTTCATAGCCTATGAATAGACCATAGCAACCTTAGTTCTTCGTACAGAAAAAATATTGGAAATTGCAATGTTTTTTTTTAAATCCATATTTTCCACAAAAAGAAAAATATCAAGGTGAACCAAAAACAAAACTGTTAAAAAGAGACTTGATAATTAAAACTTAATTTAGAACAATATACGGTTTTGCCACTCTTAGATTGTCTTAAACATATTTTTGTTTAAACCTGTATATTATAAACGTACGTCTATTTTTTAGTAATTTTTAAAATGTGAGCGATTCTCCATTAATTTATCTACAATATTCTTTAATATTTGTTTAAATCCAAAATAAAATAAAACAGTTATTTGCGTTTGAAATTCATAGAAAATTTGTGTGGATCGATTATTTTGCCTGTGAGTGTAATTTGCAATGTCAATTGATTATTCCCTATAATAAAAATTTAATTTAATTAGTAATTAAATGATTAGCAAGACTTTTTACTTTTAAGTAGAATATGACCATACAATTTCCCAAGGTATGTGTCTAGACTAGTGATGTAACGATTACTCGTCGTTTTAAAAAATATAAATTTATTAAACATAATTTTTTAAAACATACATTTATTTGGTTTTTTAGGTATACTTTTGACTATAAGTTATTTTTTTAGCAAAGATTGCAATTCATTGCCTATCAAACACAACAAATCTGGGTTGCCTATTAAGATACAACAAATTATGGTTGCTTATCGTGGACGCAGAAAGTGACGCAGTAAATGGCGGCAAGCAAATGCACACACGTGTTATTTATTTACTTTATTTTTTCAATTTAAATGTTTTTATCTACTCCTATTGTATAATAAACTCATTATTTACGTTGTTAGGCGTCAGTGATTTGAAACAATAGAGATTTAAATTGGGAGAAGGCGACTATAATAACGTTTAAAATTGGTAAAATCATTAAATTATCTACTGATAATGCAGCCTATTAGACCACTAATACTGCCCTACTATGGAGAAAGGCAGTAACTGCTAAACAAGAAATTTGTGGAAAATTAGCATAAACTACATTTTTATAAAAAGCAGTAGGTATTTAATTGATTTTTTTAACTTATTTGACTGCATTTCTGTGCTGAATTCGGTTACAAAATGTCCATAGCTTTACCATAGCACAAGAAAACCCATTTTACATTGTTTTGCAGTTACTGCCTTTCTCCATAGTAGGGCAGAATAGGCTGCATTATCTCTCCTATAATAAAATACTATAAAACAGTGAAAAGTTTTTTGTTCTTCAAACTGAGTAAGTAACAAATATTTGCGAATACGAATATTTGTTACATCACTAGTCTAGAAACCTTTTAGTTTTGCATTTATATCTGCAGATTTCAGGGACTTTAATTAAAACCTAACATCTTTTACAAGTTTTTAATATGAATTAATGATAAATCCTCTATCTTTATACAGTATATAAAATTTAACTTACTTTTTAAATATACAGCATGACCCATTTGTTTGCGACTCATCCCTGTAAAATCTTTATTTATTGTGCGATTTTAACCGGATTTGTTTTAAACTATAGATCTTGATAAACAGTATTTTTAAAGCAAAAAACGTCATATTTATACAAAATACAAGGCCTACTATGTCAGTTTTTAAGAGTACATTTTTAAGAATTCATATTAGCAATTGTTTTAAATAAAATTCAAACACGGCACTGGATTCACCACCCCTAAAAACTACCCTATACTAAATTTTATTAAAAAAAAGCACAATAATACCTAACTACAAAAAATTATTTTGTCAAGTTATCCATGAAAAAACATTTAAATAAAATTAAACTTATAGTAATAGCACCATGTTAATATTAGTTTAATTTTATTTCAATATTTTTTTATGGATAACTTGACAAAATAAATTTTTGTAGTTATTTTTGTGCATTTTTTCTCTTAAAATTTTTCAATAAAATTTAGTATAGGGTAATTTTAAGGGGTGGTGAATCCAGCGCCGTGCTTAGATTTTGTTATAAAAAATCGCTAATATGAATTCTTAAAAATTTACTCTTAAAAACTGACATAGTAGGCCTTGTATTTTGTACTAATATGGTGTCTTTTGTTCCAAAAATACAGTTTATCAAGATCTACACTTTAAAACAAATCCGTTTAAAATCGCACAATAAATAAAGATTTTACAAGGGGTGAGTTGCAAACAAATGTGTCACACTGTATCTAAGACAAGTTTTCAAAATAAATAAATAATACCTAAATCCTTTTTCTGTATACAGTATACTTGACAGTATATTAAATATAACAAACCACCAAGGGGGTCCCAAAATCATTAATTATAGTCATTTTAGTTTACTAGAACTTGTATTTAACCAAAAGAGGTTAAGGCATTTTTGTCGCCTTACAAGCACCACCTTTGGGCCAAATATAAAAGTTAATTACATTATAGTAACAAGTTGATTTTTGTCAAACCATTCAACCATGAAAACTTTTGTTGGTTTTAAAATTTAAATGTTTGACATTTTTTATATTATAACCAATACAAAAATATATCTCTCAAACTGAAGTACATACAGTGTGACTCACCCCTGTAAAATCTTTATTTATTCTGCGATTTTAACCGGATTGTTTTAAAGTGTAGATCTTGATAAACTGCATTTTTGGAGCAAAAGACGCCATATTAGTACAAAATACAAGGCCTACTATGTCAGTTTTTAAGAGTAAAGTTTTAAGAACTCATATTGGCGATTTTTAAAAACAAAATCTAAGCACCGCACTAGATTCACCACCCCTCAAAACAACCCTATACTAAATTTTATTGAAAAATTTAAATAAAAAAAATGCACAAAAAAAACTACAAAAATTTATTTTGTCAAGTTATCCACGAAAAAAACATTGAAATAAAATTAAACTAATATTAACATGGTACTATTACTTTAAGTTTAATTTTATTTCAATGTTTTTTCATGGATAACTTGACAAAATAAATTTTTGTAGTTATTATTGTGCATTTTTTTTCTTAAAATTTTTTAATAAAATTTATTATAGGGTCGTTTAGAGGGGTGGTGAATCCAGTGCCATGCTTAGATTTTGTTTAAAAAAAACACTAATAAGAATTCATAAAAATTTACTCTTAAAAACTGACATAGTAGGCCTTGTATTTTGTAACAATATGGCGTTTTTTTGCTTTAAAAATACAGTTTATCAAGATCTACAGTTTAAATTAAATCCGGTTAAAATCGCAAAATAAATAAAGATTTTACAGGGGTGAGTCGCAAACAAATGGGTCACACTGTATATATCTTCTTAAGTTAATAACATGTTTATTATTATTTTTTTTACACATCAGGCACATTGTGCCTGAACACCCCATGGGAAAAAATCGTTTAAAAAAAAGACGATCGTCTGAAGAAGATCGTCTATTTTTAAACGATATCGCTTAATTTTTTAAACGATCTTTTGTAAAAAAGACGATCGTCTGAAGAAGATCGTCTACTTTCAAACATAATCGTTTAATTATTTAAACGATCGTCTTTAATCGTCTAAAATAATAGCCGACCCTAAAGACGATCGTTTAAAGTGATAAACGATACAAAAGGCGATCGTCTAAAATAATAGTCGAAAAAAGACGATCGTTTTAATTAAAATTTTAAGTTATAACTTAACCGATGAGAAAATATTTTTATTTTGTCATAAAAATAATTCTAAAGGCGATACCTACCTACTTCGAATAATAGACAATTCCAAATATTCCAAAGTATATTTGAAATTCTTTATTATAATAGACAAGAATTTCAAATATATATTTCGTCTGTACAGCCAACCGCTTAACCTACGCAACCGATTGAATCGTTTGAAAGTCGATCGTTTGAAAGACGATCGTTTGAAAGACGATTGGACGAATTCGCGTCTAAAGACGATCGTCTTTAGACGATTTTTCCCCCATGGGACCACTGTCAGAATAATGCAACCAATGGAGGGTTAATGTAAATAGGTAACATAAAGTGCTAAATAGGTTCTTACTTTATCTTCTGGAGGGCATTTAAATAAATTAAGGAAGGTCTGTTGCATATTTTTGGCAAATCTAGGTGCAAACACATCCTTATCGCCTCCAAATTGATGTCGAGACTGCCTCACAATAGAGTCAATAACATACAATCCAGGCACTTTGTATTCAGGTTTGCACTTTAGTATAAACTTTTCCACACTTTGAACAACGTGTTTATAAAACTTTATGCCTTTTATGGCTCCTCTGGTGATGGCAGTCATTTTAGCCTTTGATATAGGTGGTTTCACCTCATACAGAGCAGAAAGCTGAAAATAAACAAATAAAGATTAATAAAATAGCCGATTATTACCTTAAAATAATATTTTTAAAACGAAATACTCAAATTACTTAATAAATGCTAACAAACGAAAAGTAATGCAATTATTGAATATAATTACCTCTGCGTTAAACGATTTTACAGCATCCATGTTCTTATTGTATTTCGGCGTCCCTTAAACTAAAACAATGTGCATATTTGTTCCATTTAGGCGTACTTTTTTAAAACAAACACTAAATTTACAAGCACAAGGGTCGCCATTTTACTCCCATCCCTTTCGATTGCCGATTTTTATGACGTAACGTTCTTTATGAGTTTGCGCACCAAGCGTTTTTGTGTTGGTATTGCCATTCTATTAAAACATTAATTATTTTTAAAATGGTACTGATTTGTGGTCCATTATTAATAATTTTGAATATTAAATGCATTTAAAACATTTACCAACTAGCGTTCCTTGAATGTATTTAAAAAAAGTTTAAAAAATTTAATAACCTTAGAAAACAAAACACCCCAAAAACTAATTTTTGGTGTCAAACTTTTGTGCTGTGGTGTCGAATGTTGCCAGATGTACGATAATTATAGTAAGTACTTGACGACTGCTTCTTTAACTTTTTTCCTATTTTATGATTAAATTATAATAATTATTGTAACATAATTCTTCCACCCTGGTCAGCATAGAAAAAGGATATAAGAAGGGAGACCTCAGTGTTAGGCAAAGGAAACACCATAGAAAATGGTAAAAAAATAAAATTCCCTATCGGGAACATTCAATGATATTACGTTGGCTACATTGAAAATTTGAATTTCCCGCACAAACTAAATTAATTTCCATCTTTTTTTTAATAATAATAAATAATAATAATTTCCACATTTGAAATTCGCACCCTAATTTATTATACAACATTGGAACTACCTTCTTTATCTCTGGGAACTACTAGAATGTGTCAGTTTGTGCGGGAAATTCAAAATTTCAGTGAAGCCAACGTAATATAATTGAATGTTCCCAATATGGAATTTTATTTTTTTACCATTGGCAACATCGACCGCATTCCTTGCATATGGTCATTTTGCCATATTGCCATATTCAGTTACTTCAATACTTTAATTTTTCTACTACTGGCAACACTGATCACTGGTGTTTAAATTGAAGAAGAAGAAGAATATATTTAGGATATTTAAAATGCATAATATATTAATAATATAATATGAAATCGGTTTAAATAACCACAAAAACAAAATGGCATTAGGACATCAAATATTCTCGGTTAAATTAAAGAGAAAATATTTAGTTTGTGTTATTGGTATAGCAACTTTAACATATTTGATAATTTCATATCTACAAAAGAAAACTGTTGAACATATAGAACCCCCTACCAGACTGGTTCCTGAAAAGTTTATTAAACAAGTTGAATATAATACTGACTTTAAAATTATGTTGATAAAAGAAAAGATAAAAAGATTTGAACATCGATTTAACAAAACACGTTCAATTATTTTAAACAGTAAGCCCATGTTAAAACCTAATTATAATGTACATGTATTTTACTATGCTTGGTATAACAATCCAGAAATAAATGGAGAGTATAGGCATTGGAATCACAACTATTTGGATAATTGGAAAAAATATGACAGTAGAATATACCCCAAAGGATCTCACAGACCCCCAAACGATATTGGGTCAAATTATTATCCATTATTGGGCTGCTATAGTTCTACTGATAAGGATATAATTGAAACCCACTTAAAATATTTAAGAGATTCAGGGATTGGTGTTTTGGTAATTTCATGGGCTCCTCCTAACTATACAGATTCCCCTCATGAGATGTTGGCAACTTTATTTAGAACTGCATTAAATTACGAGATAAAAATAGCTCTACATGTTGAACCTTATAATGGAAGGAATCCTGTAAACCTTCTGGAGCATTTAAAAGAGTTTTTAAAATTGTATGGAAATCATCCAGCTTTGTATAAAATTAAAAAGCCTTTGGGGCAGCAAATGGTTCCTCTGATTTATATCTATGACTCATATTTAATTCCAGCTGCTGCCTGGAAGGAGGTTTTTGGTAACAAAGGTAATCTTAGTGTTAGAGGAACATGGTTAGATGCAATTTATATTGGTTTACTGGTAGAACTACAGCACAAAAGTCACATAAGAAAGTCCGGTTTTGATGGATTTTACACGTATTTTGCTACAAATAGCTTTACTTATGGTAGTACTTGGAAAAATTGGCCTGTTTTGACAAAGTTTGCCCTTCAAAATGGGCTTATTTTTATACCTTCAGTAGGGCCAGGGTACATTGACACCAAAGTTAGGGCTTGGAACTCTGCAAATATTAGACATAGAGCAAATGGGCAGTATTATGATGTTGCATGGGGAACTGCCATAAATAATAATGCCCTGTATGTCTCCATTACAAGTTTCAATGAATGGCATGAAGGTAATTTGAATACCTATAATTTACGTTTTTCTTTTTATTAGTTTAGCTAGTAGCTTCTTTCGAAATACTAGGCCGCTTAAATTTATGTTTTATTTTCGCAAATCGCAATCGGAAAATAAAGGGTTTTCCAATAGCTACTCTTGATCTTTGAAATGTAATAAAATCAGTTGTGTAAGTGAAACTGACATGAGTATAGTTTTATTTTAAAGCAAATATTATTACATGTTTTAAATGTCCGCCGCGGCTTTGCCTGGTAACTTAAATCCTGGAGACCCAATTTTCGATGACTTTATTGCAGAAAAATGGCCCAATTTCCCTATTAAAAATGCCATATAGAAACACAAAATAAAAATCTATCTGGTTCAATATAGGAATTTGAAACAGGCATTGCACTATTGAACCATATAGAATTCCATACCTGGAAAACCATATGGTTTTATATATATATATATATATATAGAAAAGTGATTTCTATATGGATTGCCATATAGGTTCATATTGCTCTATATGGCCCAATATGGTTTGGGTGTGAAAAAATTATTACCATATAGATCCATATTTAACCATATAGGGAAACCTATATGGAAAAACACATAAAACAGAAACCAGATAAATCCATATAAAAATCCCTAAGTTGTACATTTTAAAATGAAATTCCATATTAAACCATATAGATTCCAAAGTGTAAACCAGGTCGTTCCATATAGGACATATAGAACCATATAAATCCATATTAGTTTCCTTATCTGGATCAATATGGGTTCTATAGGGCATTTTTAATAGGGTTCACCAATGACGCGCCTGATGATGGCTTTTAGGGCAGCAACTGTCTGTGGGTTATCGGCATAGACACGAGATTTCACAAATCTCCAGAGAAAAAAATCCAGTGGCGTTATATCGCACGATCTGGTCTGCCAGTTGACGTCGCCATCTCGCGATATTACGGAACCTTCGAACTTCTCATGCAATAATGTGAGTGTCTCGACTGCACTATGGCACGTAGCACCGTCCTGTTGGAACCAAATATTCGCAAGATCCATCCCATCCACTCTAGGTCAAAAAAAAATCTCTTATCATCGTCCTATACCGCTCACCGTTGACAGTAAGTGCGGCTCCTTCGGCATTTTCGAAAAAATATGGTCCAATTACTCCGCCGAACTACAATGCGCACCAAACGGTGACTTTTTGGGAATGGAGTGGGACCTGATAAATCTCCTGTGGGTTTTCGTACTCCAAATTCGGCAATTCTGCTTGTTAACGAATGAGCCTCGTCGCTAAACATTATTTTTCGCCCAAAATCAGAATCAACCTACAATTGCTCTAGGGCTCACTCAGGGCCTAGGTTTTAACTATTTCAACGTGTTGTTAAATAGTGTAGCGTTCCATAATGAAATGTAAAGACTAACTGAATACTCCTACCAAAGATCCCATCGATAAAGGCATGCGCGTTTGCCAAAGATCGAGCGTAGCTATTGGAAAACCCTTTACTATACGCTAAAGAAGCATCGCTAGTAGCGCCACCACGTGGCCGTTATCATCGTCACCAGAATTCAGCTTTTAATAAGCAGCTGTCAAACGCGTATGTTACAAACGAGTATTTAAGAATAAACCCGGAAAATGTTAAAAATATCGGGAAAAAAACAGGCAGGATTTTACGTGTTGGGTGTTTTTCGAGAGGAATCCTGGTTTGAGTTTTTACCGGTTTCCCAATAAACAGTGGGAATCCGAATAAAGAAATAAATTGCATACAGTCCCTGTAAATAAATATTGTACCTATTAGATACAATAAATACACATTTTAGCAATGAATTACGTAAAACATTTCAATTCAGTAAAAATCTTAAAACAAATAAGTCGTCTAAATTCAAACAGCATTTAGCATTATTAAAAGCGTTGATTAAGAAAGTTTCCACTTTCCAGTAAAATACCAAGAACCAGTAATATATATATATAATATTATTGCCTTAAATTCATAGGTATATTTTGTCGTTTAAAATGCAGTTGTCGGCTTTTTTTTAGAGGACTTAAATCTTTAACGTGCTTTTTAGTTATCTGCTGCTAAAATTCTTGTTTTTGCGATGCTGTTGGATGTTAACTTGCTCTTTAACAAAAAATATATTTTTTGTTTAACTTGTTGTTTTTGCGTTCGGTACCCACTAAGCAAAGAATGTTAAGTTAACGTAGGCCAACGTTAATACAGAGTGTCACAATTTAACGTTTGCTCTAATTGTTATAGTAACGTTATTTCGATGTCCAGCAAATTACATCAATCTGGTCCAATCACAGTGAAGTCCTAGAAACGTTTGCTAACAAAACATTCCATGTCTCTTGTTCATTTGATGTTGTTTTTAAAACATTAATATGTCATGTATAATTGTATGTCGCATGAACATTGGCAGATGCAACATCTCCCAACTCATGTTTATATGATGTTATTTTTAGGATGTTAATATAAGAAGTTCAATTATATGTCCCATACACGTTTGCGGAGATATTGCCTAATCATATGTTTACACAATGTATTGTCTTTTTTAATAAACGTTAAGTTGAAAACGGTTATAAAATGTTATTTTGATTATTTCGATATCTTAAGGCACAATTGTACCTACAGCTATTTTAATATTTTTTTATTTATATGCATCATAAATATTTATTTACTTCCTATAGGTATATCTGTATTTCATTATATTTATATTATTTAATTTTTATAGTTATTTAAATTTTTAAAAAATTATAAATTTGCATCAAGTTTTTCTTTTAAAGCCAACCACGTCATTTAAATCATATGGACGTATTAACTCTAATATGTCTATAATTTAAATAGACAGATAAACAATACATTGGCAAATTAGATTAATACACTGATGTAAACTCACTTAAATTCACCTTTTGTTTAGAGACTCTTTTCGTGGTGTTGAGGTTTAACAATTATGAGTTTTTAACCGCGGCACATTCAAATCGAGCGCGCGAAACTCTCAAACCCATACGCTGTCAAACTGCGCAGATTTCATTTTGGATTCGTGGGCCAATCACAGAACGTCTCTTGCACCAGAACGGCGTCATTTGGGATTTAACAGGTTTAAGAGCAGTGAGTGTGAGTAGTGAGTGTGTTAAATAAAGCGTAGGTAAGCTACAATTACTTTTTCTATCATTTAAGTTAACTAAGGGGGTTGTAAGTATATTTTTACCAAGTTTAGTAAGGTAGATTTGGTAGGTATTATTTATTTACTATTATTTACGAGAACTCTGTATAGGAGCATGGCGGGGTGGTGGCTTCATTCTAACAATCATGGTATAGCGAATTTTCGGTTAAAACAAACCAACTCAAATAGTATCTACGAACCTAGTCCTAGTTAGTTAATTTTTTCGCAAATAACAAACATCGCTTAAAGCGAACCATCGTTCATGATCCATTACGGTTCGTTATAAGCAGAAATTTATTAATATGACAATACAATTCATTAAAATTAGAACCAATCAAATGCCAGTATTGCATAGTTACGCATTTTATCACAGCGACAATATTTTTTACACGTTACTAAGGATTTTGACACTTTTCTTGATTTGACATTTGTTGACATTTAAATCCTGTGTTTGTTATATAATTAAAATAATGAATTATAAACTCTAATAGATCGATGGGGTTGGTGTAAACGATAATGAAATTTAGGTATGTTTGAATAAATAAGGTTTATTAAAGTCTTTTTATATTTTAAAGCACATTTTAATTTCAAATGTCAAACTGACAATTAAGGTAAGTCAAATGTCAAACTGACAATTAAGGTAAGTTTGAATAAATAAGGTTTATTATTTTTATATTTTAAAGCAAATTTTAATTTCAAATGTCAAACTGACAATTCGTTAAATCCTAAAATTCATTATATTTTCTCACCAAATATAACTCGTGGTACGATTAATTATCGATATTTACTCATTGAAACCGAAGCAGCACATTTCATTGGTCCTGCGGACTCGTGAAATCTGCAGCTCGGTTTCAATTCGAAAATATCATCGATGATAATCATACCACTTGTTATATTATGGGTGATAATATCGCATAATATTCTTAATTAATAGACCAGACTCATAGCCAAGGATTTGTATTTATCTTTAAGGTTAGGGAGAAAAGGTAATTACCAAAGATAAGCTATTAGCATAATAAAAAACTAGAATATAGTTCAATTAATAAGTTGACAACGATATATCGTTGTATCGTGTTAAATATATTTAACATAAAATGCGAATATCCTAATACATATGCAATTTTTCGTTGGTACCTTTTTATTCATCACATTTTCTTTGTTACAGAGGCAGTAAAGAAAAATTTTAATCTGGTAGATCGAAAATTTGAGGAGTTCGTGATGGACTGGTTCCGCCATGGCAAACAGCGTAATGCGAGAGAAAGAAAATGAATATGATATGGATATAAATAAAATATTTGATTTATATTTGCATGTTATTTGAAATAATTTTTTTTTTCACATCCGTGTATTTATTCAAACATCGCTGCGATTTTATCCTAGAACATTAAATGATGATGTTTTAAACTAACGTTAAATTAACTTAACTAAACTAATGTTATATAAACATCGCATTTGTGAAGTTAATATGCTAACGTTAAATTAACTAAACACTTAACGTTATATAAACATCGTATTTGTGACGTTAACATGCTAACGTTACTGGCGCGGTCATTTTCCGTTCTCGCGACATTAATAGAACGTTAATGTTACAAGAATGCTAACGTCACAATGTAATATGCTGATGTCGCAATAATGTCAATGTGACAAAGTTTTGCTTAGTGGGTAAGGTTCGAATTACTTTTCGATGTTCAAATTATTGTTATTGCGTTGTGTTTACCTGTTCTGTTTGTTTATTATTGTTTTTGTGTTGCGTTAACTTGTTTTGTTTTAGTTTGTGTCATGCCATTTGCATTTATTAAAATGCGGTGTGGCATATTTGGATGCAATTCGGACAACCAGTCCAAGAAATAAAAACAT